TGATATTTTAAAATTCATTTATTTTTAATTGAAGGATAATTAAAATGCCTAAATTTAACCTCCACATCTTACCTTCACTTGTCTTCACTTACCTTTTCACTTGTCTTATTTGTAGGAAGACTTCTTGGAGGTGATTATTTCAATGACAAAAGCAGTGCATAATTGAGACTCCTTACTCAATGTTATTTAGGACTTTGGAAAACTGTATGAAAATTACGTTAATTTGAAATACTTAGTGCTCAATGTTCGGTTTTGAAAACAATTGATTTTTATTCTATGAGTCTAGATAAGAAAGTGTCCCTTAAAATCTTCAAGAATTACAAACCTAGAATCTCTGTAATACAAACACATTAGATGATATTTATGGGCCTGAAAAGTGTGTCTGACAATAAATTTAACGCAACATAATGCCAGTGTCATCAGACAACTTTTCTCACTTAAAAATACATATGGTGTTTTAAAAATAACTACCCATTACTTAGTGCTCAACATGTATTTAGATGTTATGCAAAGAATAATATTAAAACAACTTCATTTTGTCTTCCCACAACATTTATGAAGTTGGTATTATTTTCTCTATTTTACTGAAAGGAGACTGGCCTTGTGGGGCAGAGACAGGGAGAGAGAGCTGGGATTCAAGCTTGGAAAGGGAGACTGCAGGGCTCCCCACTACACTTTAAAGCTGTCGACATCTAAATGATTATCAGGTGGAATCACACTACATAAATTGATTTTTTTAGTGCTGCTTTTCCTTCATCCTTTTTGAAATAGTGAACAGCTCCAATTTGCCCAACAATTATAATGTGACCAAACAGGCAACATATCTGGTATCTGTAAGACTCGGTGTACAGGATGGTGCACACACGCATGATCGCCCTCTGCTGGGATGTGGTCTCTGAGTGACGTCATCTGAGTAGATGGAGGGCCCTGCAGTATGGACCCACTACTCAGAACCCAGGGTTTCCCTTAGCCACACTTGTCATCACTATTACAAAATATTAAATAAATTATCTGATATATCATTTAAGAGAATGAGAAGGAATTAAATGAGGAAAAGTACACGAAATAAATAATTTAGAAGCAATAAAAATGACAAAGAATCTTCCAAGGTTTATCAAATACACCAAGGATAAGCAGAATCATCAAAAATGAGTTGAAAACACTTGGCACAAACTATTTCCTTTAAAACAAAACTGAACAACCCCCTTCCAGCCCCTTCCCTTCCCTCGTCTCAGTTGGTGATGGGGAAGAAAGACTGGTTCCCACATAGGAACTCTGCTTCCAGCAGCACCTCCAGCCCCACCATCCATAGCAGCCTTTTCTTTTCATCCGGGATCAAAGGTCACCTCCTAGAAGCTCCGCCCACCTCCTGAAACAGGTTCCCTAACTCCCTCCAGCACCCATATGCAGTTTGCCTTCCAGGACTTCCTCCACAGAGCTCCCACAATTAGGATTCCAAAGGCAGCAAGGGGTGAATCTCTGGATGTCTCCCTCCCAAAGGGAGGCTGAAGGAGACCACCCATGAGGGGAGGGGTCTGGCTCACCCCTGTTCTTCAGGACCTCAACTCTAAGCACTGTTTGTTGAAGGGAAGGAGGGAGAGAGAGAAATACCACCCATCACCTCACACACACATGCAACTCATAAACTGTACACCCCAACAACCAGCAAAACCTCCTCAACCCTACATTCCAGATGGGCCTCTCTCCTGCTTCATTCAAACTCCTTCCAGGAGTAGCCAGTCTTCGCCTCAACTCCCTCCACACCTCCTGGATTTTCAGCCCTTTGCACTCTGTCCTCCTCACATCTGAAACCTGATTGCCAGGTCACCAACACCTCCTGATTCCAAATAAACCAACAAGTTTTCACAGACTCACCTTCTGTTTTGCACTGAAAAGATCTGTCTTTCCTTGATTCCCCAACCTATTTCCTTCTTTCTCCCTTGCTATTCACTGTGTGTCTCCTCTCCTTCCCTTCTCTCTCTGCTTTCTCTCTGATATCGAGTCCTATTATATTGGCCCCTTAATATGCTTCCCTCTCTCTGGGCAATTTTGTCATCTTGATAGATTCAACTACTACCTGCTCAATGAAGGGTACACAGGCTCCATGCTCATCCCAGGTCTCCCCCTCAAACACCAAACTCTTACTTCCAATGACCTACAGGACACCTCCACCTTCAACTTCAAGATAATTGAACTACAAGTGGCAGAGCTGGGACTGGAAATCAGTGAGACTAGAATTTTCTCTCCTTTTTATGAGAATGTTTCCTACTGAAATCAGGTAGCATCTATCCCTGTCCCTCTATATGTCATGCAAAAATATGTGACAATCTGACTATGACCACTAACTAGCCATGTGCTAGTAAGCACAGGGCAGAAACCCCATAGCAAAGAAACAGAAACATTCACAAAGTCTTTTCAAAGCAATTCAAAATCATTGCTAAAATGTGACACGGTTTTCAGGGAAAAATCATTTCTGGGGATAAATTATGTAGTTAAACCCAGAAGGGCACATTTATAAAATAAGTTTGCGGAAGAGAAAAAAAAAAAAAATCAGACATCTTTGCAGTAAAAGTCCTCTGCTTCTGAGTCTCAGCGTAGTTTACACTGGTAACAGTTGAAGCCAGGCCCACAGTCGACACTGTCTGCAGTCAGATCTCTGCTGCATTTCTGTGTGCAGCTTCTGACAATGCATTTCATTTCCAAAATTAACACTTGAGAAGAAAAAGAAAATTCCCCACAGACTATATAACTGAAAAGTAGACAGAATTAAATAACAGAACATTCTTTAGAACCTCAAGTTCACAGACAAAATAGAGGCTGGATAGAAAGTATTCCTATAGGTGTTTCTCTATCTCTGTCCCTTGTTTTAAGACACCTTAAGACAGAGCAATCAACCTGTGAAAAGAAAAACTGCCTACAAAACAAAAGACATTTTCTGAAATGACTTTGATCCTGGAATCAAATTACTGGCTTAAAGGCTTTTTATCTTTAATAACTACTTTCTATTGCCCTTGTTGGATTTCCCAGGTGACTGAGTGGTAAAGAATCTGCCTGCCAATGCAGGAGACACAGGTTTGATTCCGGGTCAGGAAGAGCCCCTGGACAAGGTAATCGCAACCCACTCAAGTATTCTTGCCTTAGAAATCTCATGGAGAGAGGAACCTGGCGGGCTATAGTCCATGGGGTCACAAAAGGGTCAGACACAATTTAGCACCTAAACAACAACAACATTGTCCTTGTTAAAGTATTATTTTCACCACATATGGTTTTATCCAAATAAAATAGTGCAGTAAATATTTGCCCTCTGTGGTAATACAATGCATTGTGTCCTCTGTGGTAATACAATGCATTGTGTCCTCTGTGGTAATACAATGCATTGTGTCCTCTGTGATAATACAATGCATTATGCATGTCTGACTCTTTGCAATCCCATGGATGTAGACCACCAGGCTTCTCTGTCCATGGAATTTTCCAGGCAAGAATACTGGAGTGGCTTGCCACTTCTTCAGGGGATCTTCCTGACACAAGGATTGAACTCTCATCTCTTGTGTCTCCTCCACTGGCAAGTGAATTCTTTAACACTGAGCCACCTGGGAAGCCCAATACAGTGCATAATTTAGTGCATCTAGGCTATCTTTCCATGAGAGGTGATTTTTTTCTCTATTGTGAAATGTACTCACAGTAAGGGAATCCACACCAGACACCTTAGAAGGCAGAGGGAGAACCACTTACCCAGCATGTTGCTGCTTCAGACCAACCTTGACAAGACTGTGTAGCCACTCCTGCCCCAAGTGTTCCTCATGTTAGCTCAGCCTCCCAATCACAACTGTACCCTTCTCTCACAAATATAACCTTTAATGAAAATTCTGAAAGAGTTGGGAATACCAGACCACCTGACCTGTCTCTTGAGAAACCTGTAGGCAGGCCAGGAAGCAACAGTTAGAACTGGACATGGAACAAACAGACTCGTTCCAAATAGGAAAAGGAATACATCAAGGCTGTATATTGTCACCCTGCTTATTTAATTTATATGCAGAGTACATCATGAGAAATGCTGGGCTGGAAGAAGCACAAGCTGGAATCAAGTTTGCCGGGAGAAATATCAATAACCTCAGATATGCAGACAACACCACCCTTATGGCAGAAAGTGAAGAGGAACTAAAGAGCCTGTTGATGAAAGTGAAAGAGGAGAGTGAAAAAGTTGGCTTAAAGCTCAACATTCAGAAAACTAAGATCATGGCATCTGGTCCCATCACTTCATGGCAAACAGATGGGGAAACAGTGGAAACAGTGTCAGACTTTATTTTTTTGGGCTCCAAAATCACTGCAGATGGTGACTGCAGCCATGAAATTAAAAGAGACTTACTCCTTGGAAGGAAAGTTATGACCAACCTAGATAGCATGTTAAAAAGCAGAGACATTACTTTGCCAACAAAGGTCCATCTAGTCAAGGCTATGGTTTTTCCAGTGGTCATGTATGGATGTGAGAGTTGGACTGTGAAGAAAGCTGAGCATCAAAGAATTGATGCTTTTGAACTGTGGTGTTGGAGAAGACTCTTGAGAGTCCCTTGGACTGCAAGGAGATCCAACCAGTCCATCCTAAAGGAGATCAGTTCTGGGTGTTCATTGGAAGGACTGATGTTGAGGCTGAAACTCCAATACTTTGGCCACCTCGTGCAAAGAGTTGAAGACCCTGATGCTGGGAAGGAATGGGGGCAGGAGGAGAAGGGGATGACAGAGGATGAGATGGCTAGATGGCATCACCGACTCGATGGACATGAGTTTGGGTAAACTCCAGAAGTTGGCGATGGACAGGGATGCCTGGCATGCTACGATTCGTGGGGTTGCAAAGAGTCAGACATGACTGAGTGACTGAACTGAACTGAAGATAACAGACACATCACCAGGCTGAAAGCTCACTGTCAGCCCCTGTGAGAAGGCCTTGAGAAACAGGCATTCTACTCTTCCTTGTGAGAACTCTGACAGGACTGGTACATTACCTGGATGAAATCTTGAAATATCAGGGGCAGCAAGTCATCCATATGCCCAAGGTCTTTTAAGAAGCGATTTAAAATCCTTCCTGCAAGAACAGGATACAAGAAAATACTCATTTCCTCATATAGGAGCCATAAAAGAAACAATACATGAACAAATCAAGACAATATTTTTAAAGTCCATGTATTTAGGGACTTCTTGATGATACAGTGGATAAGAATCTGCTTGCCAATGCAGGGGACATTACAAACTCCACTTTTGAAAATAAAAGATAGGAAAGAGTTCAATTTAATATACCACTAAGAGAGTAAATAATTTACAGCCCATAAGTCTTTTGGAAAAAGCAGACCTATCTTTGCACTACTTATTTGGGCTTCTATTTTCCTGAAGGAATGGAGTCATGCTAGACAGGAGGGGACACAAGATAAATATTAGTGTGCTGGCTGCTCTAAGGTTAGTGGCCCTCAGGATTTAAATTTGATCCCAAATCCTTGAATAATAAGTATGTCAGCATTTGGAGAAGCCTACAGGTCTTGAATATAAAGAGAGCCTGGTTAACTCTGGTCATGAACACTCAGATTCTGTGAGAACAGAAATTCAGTCCCACTTAATGCTCCCAACTTTAGTTTTCACATTAACAGGCAAAGTGGAGCAACTTCACAGCCATAACAGCATGGACTCCTCCAATCACTTCCTCACTCTGGCTTCATAATAAGATGAGATCTGTGTGGGCCTCTGCAGTTTACCATCCTGTGCTCTGCTCACTGCCTGGACTAAACACCATCTGCTGAATAAATCTACACAAAATGCTGCCCTCAACATTCTTAGTTAATCCTCACAACAGCCTTGTGAAACAGGAAGGGCAGTGGTTATTCCCATTTCACAGGAGAGAAGTTCCCAGACACCATGTTGTCATCCTCACTGAGGTACATTAGGCACTGACCCAGTGCTAAGTGCTTGATACCCCCTGCTTAATACCCACAATACTGAGATATTGGTAAGTGTGTGAAGAGTATCTTCATTTTACAGGTAAGAAAATCAAGACACAGAGAAATTAAATAACTAGCACAGAAATATTAACATAACTATAACTAACTACTACTATCAGTAACTAGCAACAGGACTGAACTCAGCCAATTGGTTCCAGAGTCCATACTTAAGACCATGACAATATCCTGCCTGGAGATTTGCCTGGCCAGTAGAATCTACCTGCTTTGGCCTCAGTCACATGACTAGTTGATGACCAGGCTGAGGCTACACTTGTCCTCCCTCCAGTCACATCCCTGCCTCGAGAGGTCCTTTCAATCATCACCTGTGAAAAAACAAAGCCACCCTGGGCCTCAGCACAAATGTAACCAACTGAACAGAGTGATCATGTTCACTAATGAACTAACTCTTCACAGAAACCCACGTCAGGAGGCTGTCTTCTGAAGAAATACAGGTCAAAGGCCTCAAGGTAGAGGAAGCAACCACTGGGAAACCATCAGGGACACTGTTACTTAATACTGAAAATCCACCTGCTATGTACCACAAGACCTCTTAAATGTAACCAAAAGTCCATTATAAAACTAGAGAGTTGATTTTATTGAAGACCATGTATACATTTAACTGATCTTGTGTTTTAATCAATTTTCCATTACCACTTAGGTAAACCTCAAAATATGAGCACATGCCAGACCTTCGTGGTCCCAGAAATGAATGAGCAATGAAAAAGGGAAACACACAGCCTGTCTCCTATAGAGATGTTCCTGGAAGAAGGTCCTTCCTAGTTAGCTTAATATTATGTAACACAAGAACATTTCAAAAACTAGTCAAAAACATTTCAACACATTTGCTTCGTATGTTGGGTGCTTCATTTGTCTTACAACAAATGGATTCACAAATCATCCTGCAAAGTAAACATTCTTTTATTTTTATAGACATACATAAATTGGAATAAAGGCTTATATGCCCCTATTCAGATTTTCTCTGGTAGGAAAAAATATTAGTGAAGCGTTTCATAGAAAATGAATCAACATGCATCTCTTCCATTTTCAAATATCAAATGTAATCAGGAACTAAATGCGTTAACAAGACATATTCACTGAGAAACCTGGTGTCTGACTTACCTATTGGATTTCTATAGAAGAACAATACTGGAGCTTTCAAAACGGAACACAACATTTTGTTATGCAAAGTTTGTGAAGAGTTAACAAGGACGTAGAAAATCAACAAAGACCTTGTGATGCCAAAAAGGACAGTAGAAAAAGTTAACCCTGAAATAAAGAAACATCACTCAGCACAAGATCTCTGCCTTATCCTCAATGATGTTAAAGCATGGCAGACAGTTTATAAAGATATTGTGTATTTTATTCTATAAGTAAGATTTATATAAAATTTTACACATGTAGACTATAGAATAAATTTATATATCTATATATAAATATACATATGAAATGGGTTGTATAAGAGCTTGATGCTGTCACAAAATACATTTATAAAGAAGAATATAAAAATCACTATTTTCCTCTCACTAAATAGAAACAACACAGTGGGGGGCGGGGATGTCTTATATAAATTAGTTTCATAATTCACTTACAAGTTCATAATTTCCTAATTCACTTACAAGTTCTAATAAAAACTCACAAGAAAGATAATTACAGGGCTTCCTTGGTAGTTCAGTGTTGGAGACTCTGTCTGCCAATGCGGGAGACATGGGTTCGATCCCTGACCCAGGTGGATCTCACATGTCTCAGAGCAACTTAACCTGTGCACCATTACTATTGAGCTTGTGCTCTAGAGCCCAGGAACCACAACTACTAAAGCCCACTGGCTGCATCTACTGAAGTCCACACACCCTAGAGCCCGTGCTCTGAAATAAGAGAAGCCATGCAATAAGAAACCCGCACATCACAATTAGAGAGTAGACTCTGCCCTTGGCAAGTAGAGAAAGTCCACACAGCAATGAAGACCCAGCATAGCCGAAAACAAATAAAACTTAAAAAAAAAATTTAGTTATTTAAACACTTTTTAAAAACAAAAAGAAAGATAATTATGAAAAATAGTTGATCTTCTTCCTTTTGCCACATTTCAAATCCCACTAGTTACATATTCCATAATCAAAGCATACCTCAGTTTTAGATATCAGCATGAGAAGGAAGAGGAACAGGAGAAATGACTTACCATTTCCTTGTAAACAGTAAATTTACATGAAAATTTACTTCTATATAAAGTAGCTACTTGAGAATCTACTTTTATAGCACAGAGAATTCTACTCAGTGGTGACCTAAATGGGAAGGAAATTTTTAAAAATTGGGATATATGTGTACTGTACATATGACTGATAGCACTTTGTTGTACAGCAAAATCCGACACAACACTGTAAAGCAGCTAGACTCCAGTGAAAATTGATAAAAATAAAATAAATAAAAAGTAACATAGCTATTTCTAAGTCCAAGTAGTTTTAAAGAGTACGGAAGGACCATATTAAGTTGCAAACAGATAATCTCTTAAATGCAAGAAACTATTATATTATGACAAGAGATAATTATAACCTAAATAATAATTTATAGATAATCTAAACAAGCAACTAACCTCTCACTATGTGTCTTAAGGAAACACAAAGCATTTGCAAATAAATATAATCATTTAAAATTTTTTATCAATGATAAATGAGCATCACTATGCATATAAAACCACGTCCAAAGTAAGGAGGAGCGGCCGAGAGGAGAAACTCCACGTTTAAGGTCAGGAGCAGTGCCTGCACTTCACTAGACCAGCCGTGTGGAGATACCCCACATCCAAGGTCAGAGAAACCCCAGTAAGATGGGAGGCACTGGAGCAGCTGTGAGGAGATACCCCACATCCAAGGGCAAAGAAGCAGCCCCAGCAAGACAGTAGGAGGGGCGAATTCGTGATTAGAATCAAACCCCATTCCCACCAGAGATGCTCAGAGGGCTCAAACAAACCTTGTGTGCACCAGGACCCAGGGCCCCCACAGAGACTGAGACAGAACTGTGTCTGAGCGTCTCCTGTGGAGGTATGGGTTGGCAGTGGTCTGCCGCAGGGACAGGGGCTCTGGGTGTGGGTATGGCATAAGTCCTCTTGGAGGAGGTCACCATTAACCCCACTACAGAGCTGCCAGAACTTACACAAGACTGGGAAATAGACTCTTGGAGGGCACAACAGAACCTTATGGACCAGGACCAAGAAGGATGGAACAGTGACCCCACAGGAGACTTGCCTTTGTATGACCAGGAGTCTCTGGCAAAGGTGTGGGTTGGTGGTGGCCTGCTGCAGGGTTGAGGGTATGGCCTGTAGCAGTACATGCATGGGATCTTTTGAGGGAGGTCACCATTATCTTCATTACCTCCACCATAGTTTGGCCCCAGGTAAATAGCAGGGAGGGAACACAACTCCACCCATCAATAGAAAATTGGATTAAAGATTTACTGAGCATGGCCCCACCCATCAGAACAAGACCCAGTTTCCCCCTCAGTCAGTCTATCCCATCAGGAAACTTGCATAAGCCTCTAATCCTTCTCCATCAGAGGGCAGACAGACTGAAAACCACAGTCATAGAAAACTAACCAATCTAATCACATGGACCACATAACTGTCTAACTCCATGAAACTAAGAGCCATGCCCTGTAGAAGCACCTAAGACGATGGGTGATGGTGGTGAGTTCTGACAAAATGTGGTCCACTGGAGAAGGGAATGGCAAACCACTTCAGTATTCTTGCCTTAAGAACCCCATGAACAGTATGAAAAGGCAAAAAGATAGGACACTGAAAAGATGAACTCCCCAGGTCAGTAGGTGCCCAATATGCTACTAGAGATAAGTGGAGAAATAACTCCAGAAATAATGAAGAGATGGAGCCAAAGCAAAAACAACACCCAGTTGTGGGTGTGACTGGTAATGGAAGCAAGGTCTGATGCTGTAAAGAGCAATATTGTATAGAAACCTGGAATGTTAGCTCCATGAATCAAGGCAAATTGGAAGCAATCAAACAGGAGATGGCAAGAGTAAATGTCGACATTTTAGGAATCAGCGAACTAAAATGGACTGGAATGGGTGAATTTAACTCAGATGACCATTATATCTACTACTGTGGGCAGAAATCCCTTAGGAGATGGAGTAGCCATCATAGTCAACAAAAGAGTCCTAAATGCAGTACTTGGATGCAGTCTCAAAAACGATAGAATGATTTCTCTTCGTTTCCAAAGCAAACCATTCAATATCACTGTAATCCAAGTCTATGCCCTGACCAGTAATGCTGAAGAAGTTGAAGTTGAATGGTTCTATGAAGTGAAGACCTACAAGACCTTCTAGAATTAACACCAAAAAAGATAGATGTCCTTTTCATTACAGGGGACTGGAATGCAAAAGTAGGCAGTGAAGAAACACCCAGAGTAACAGGCAAATTTGGCCTTGGAGTACGGAATGAAGCAGGGCAAAGGCTAATAGAGTTCTCCCAAGAGAATGCAGTGATCATACCAAACACCCTCTTCCAAAAACACAAGAGAAGACTCTACACATGGACATTGCAAGATGGTCAACACCAAAATCAGACTGATTATATTTTTTTGCAGCCAAAGATGGAGAAGCTCTATTACAGTCAGCAAAAACAAGACTGGGAGCTCACTGTGGCTCAGATCATGAATTCCTTACTGCCAAATTCAGACTTAAATTGAAGAAAGTAGGGAAAACCACTAGACCATTCAGGTATGACCTAAATCAAATCCCTTAAGATTATAGAGTGGAAGTGAGAAATAGATTTAAGGGACTAGATCTGATAGAGTGCCTGATGAACTATGGACAGAGGTTCATTATACTGGGAGCAAGACCAATCGAAAGAAAAAGGAATGCAAAACAGCAAAATGGCTCTCTGAGGAGGCCTTACAAATAGCTATGAAAAGAAGAGAAGCCAAAAGCAAAGGAGAAAAGGAAAGATATACACATTTGAATGCAGAGTTGCAAAGAATAGCAAGGAGAGATAAGAAAGCCTTCCTCAGTGATCAGTGCAAAGAAATAGAGAAAACCAATAGAATGGGAAAGACTAGAGATCTCTTCAAGAAAATTAGAGATACCAAGAGGACATTTCATGCAAAGATGGGCTCAATAAAGGACAGAAATGGTATGGACCTAACAGAAGCAGAAGATATTAAAAAGAGGTGGCAAGAATACACAGAACTATACAAAAAAAGATCTTCATGACCCAGATAATCATGATTGTGTGATCACTCACCTAGAGACAGACATCCTGGAACGTGAAGTCAACTGGGCCTTAGGAAACATCACTATGAACGAAGCTAGTGGAGGTGATGGAATTCCAGTTGGGCTATCTCAAATCCTAAAAGATGATGCTGTCAAAGTGCTGTACTCAATACGCCAGCAAATTTGGAAAACTCAGCAGTGGCCACAGGACTGGAAAAGGTCAGTTTTCATTCCAATCCCAAAGAAAGGCAATCCCAAAGAATTCTCAAAACTACCGCACAATTGCACTCATCTCACACACTAGTAAAGTAATGCTCAAAATTCTCCAAGCCAGGCTTCAGCAATATGTGAATCATGAAGTTCCAGATGTTCAAGCTGGTTTTAGCGAAGGCAGGGGAACCAGAGATCAAACTCGCAACATTTGATGGATCATCGAAAAAGCAAGAGAGTTCCAGAAAAACATCTATTTCTGCTTTATTGACTACGCCAAAGGCTTTGACTGTGTGGATTACAATAAACTGTGGAAAATTCTGAAAGAGATGGGAATACCAGACCACCTGACCTGCCTCTTGAGAAACCTGTATGCAGGTCAGGAAGCAACAGTTAGAACTGGATGAGAGGGTAACAGACAGGAAGGCCAGGGGTCTCCAAACAGAGGAAAGAGGCTGCAAGTGCCAGACATTTTTATCTCTCTTAAGCGGCAGGAGGAAACAAACCAGCAATATTTTTTCTTCTCTATACAAATTTAAAAGGAGGTTTCTCTTAAAATGCTGTGTTACCCTGACACCTGGTTTCACCTGAAGCTAACTACTCTCAAACCTTGAGTTAACTAATACATTTCTTTTTCTTATGGAAACGTTGTCTTAAGCTATGTTAATGTACCCCAGACTCTATCTTCAAGTTGGTTCTGCCAAATGGCCCAACCTACTTATTCAGGTATTGTTCCCCTAATCTATGTAACTGAAACTATTTGTTGGTAATCTGCCCTTCTACAAGATTCAAGTCAATCATTTTATGGCCAGGGATGAATTATCTGGTGCCATTCTAAGTTTTATGAC